CCGTTTATGAATACGAATATTTTCTGATTTTCTATTGTCTAAACAAAAAAAAAAATAATTATTTGTGTCTGGCAAAAAATTATTGTTTCAACGTCAGTTTCAATATTATATACATTCAAAACATTAAATATGGATTCCCATGGGTGTAATTGTAAAAATGTAACAATTACAGAAGGAATATTTGGAGAAGTCCTCGTAAATTTTCGCGAACGCAATTCCAGTGACGAAGTAATCGACCAGGAACGTTTCACTGAGGTCTCGGACATCCAACTTGAAAAACAGAACGGCGAAGATCAGGACCAGGTAACGCGTCGACGGATCGGAGTATGCAGATCTCAGTGACTTCAATCCGCATACCACTATGATCAACGCTCCTATGCTTTCGCCGAATTTCGAAACGATCTTCGAAGAGCATTCCGTGAGCGCGCCCAGGAATACAACCGGATAGAGAACATTCCTTTCCACAAAACAGAGACAAACGTATGCTTTCTCAAACCACATAATTTTCACTGGCTCGCAAACTTCGAATTGTGCGTGTTCGTGGCTGCGTAACACGGGTCTTGATAAGCACAGCCAGGGTAATTGTTTACGGAGCTGCGGTACAATATAATGTAACAGAAATCCGAGGCAGCTTGCTATACCCCATAAAACCGGATTCAGTTCCGGTTGCAAAGCTGTGAATACAGTCGAACAATGAATTCCAAAAGACAAAGTACCGATCACTGCGCAGACTATCAAGTCGTTCTTCAATCTTGCATTCACCGTTGCTCGCAACTTCTCTGGTAGCGGGTCTACCAATTCCGTGTCCGACATCTGTTCTCCAACTTTGATCTTAACATGTTTCTTCCTCCCACAAGTTCGAATCTTCGCTTCTTTGTACGTCGTAGGTACAGTTTCCCTTCGCGACGTGTTCTCAATAATTTTCGCTTCCTTCTCTTCTGTATAAATTTCCGGCGGCCACAAATTTGTTTTAACTATATCCCATATCACGGTAGGATCCGAAGACGAACGACTTAAATGATACGATATGGCGACTAATAAGCCGGCAAAAATGGAAAATAAAATATGCTGCGAGGATTTAGGCTCTGTAAGCGCTCCATAAGCAAACCCGTACAATATAACAACGGTGACGATGCTACGGCAAAGGCAATAAATCGATGACACTAAACTCGTAGTTGCGTTCCCGCCAAATAGATGAATGTCTATATGCTCGCAGAGATACATTAGAAAAGTATTGATTTGAGGCAGCAGGCCTAACGAGAAAATAATAGGGAAGCACAAAAGGAAAATTAATAAAACGTTACGAATTTGTAATATGACATCGTAATCAGTAATTCGCAAGCCATATATTCGGAACTCGGACGCTTTAAAGTTTCTTAACGATTCGTTGAAGATCAATATGAATCCTGAGCATAATATGTAATAGACGGGTCGTGAAAATACTATAATACGGTTGAACCCGTGCGTCGGTGAGGCGGCATCGGGCTGCACAGATTTTAATAATGAATATTGACATCCGGCGGTTACGAAGCAAAACATGAACGCGAATATGTCACGGTAGAATCCTTGATGGAGCAGTGTCAAGCCCAATCCTGCGACAGCCACAGCTAAGAACGTCGAAACGATGGTTTCAAAAATTGTCAGGTTTCGATCTAACAAGGCCAACAAAAATAAACGATCGAATCGCACTTTGACATGCGGCAATTTTCCAACTTTCCATTTGTAATAATATTGTTTATCTTCTCTTGACTGTTTAGGCTTGGATTCGGATCCGCCTAAACTACCGATAAGTCGATTCCAAGACAAACTCGTATTTATATCACCAACCGCACACGTTTGCAATGTTAACGCGGATCTTGCACGGCGATTCGAGTCTGCCGGGTAAATATTCAAATTAAAATATCCCAATATGTTCCGTAATCGTTGATTCCTCTCCGTCATCGACTCAATTCGGGTCAATATATCTTGATGAAATTGATCTCGATCCATAGCCTCGACGCCGCATTGAATGGAATTCCCATTATTTTGATGGAATTGATCGCGTTCCGAAGTTTCTACTGGATTCGATGATAACGAGTTCTGCGCCTTCGTTTGATTGCTCTCTGGACTGGACAAAACTGGAGGCGTGTCTATTATAACACTCAAGTCGGGAGAATTCAAAGATAAACTGCTATAACTGTTGCTCAGCGAATCCAGTAATTCCCAATTGGCGTCGTAATGTAAATTTTGATTAAGCTGTTGACGTAGTAACGTGTTTAACAATTTCTCGTTATTGGGAGGAACGTGGGCAGCCGTGGCAACGCCTCTTTTGTCGTCGATGGTGTAAGTGAGCCAGCGCACTTTCTCGTCCCGTAAGTAAGGCACCGTCGCCTCGACGGTGTCATTAGGATGGGTAACCAAATCGTTCGATATCAATCCATATAAAGCAGTAAGCGGTACAACGTTGTCCTCTCGACTTCTCTCACGCGAAAAACGCTGCCGCCTGATTGAACATGGATTCAATGGACCGCGCCTTTTACGGGCAGTTCGTGTCTCTGAGTTGCGACTTAATCTTAAGGCGGACACTGTGCCCGATTGACCAGGATCCGAAGACAATGACGTGGTTAACAAGAAGGATGCAAGACTTAGTGTACTTAACTCGTTGTTCGAACCACAGGTTTGCTCAAGTTTGTTGAATTCCAACGTTCGTTTCATTTTCGGCCGGGTTGGTTCGGTAGTCGCAATACTATCGTGTATAGTCTCTGCTGGCATTGGACGGCTTTGTTTGGGTATTGCTCCTTGGTGTCGCTTGTTATCTGTTTCTACTTGTGGGAGCAACATTCTTTTCACCTCGTTTTCCATATTCGATGAATACGTCGTATAATCGAAAGGCATCATGCTAGAAGAACCGCAATCCGATTCTTTATTGTGTAGTCCTGCAATCAATACAGATATTCTGTCTTCAATTCCCTTACGGGAGTTAGCCACTTTATGTTAGTCAACTGACACTTCGTTAATAAATGGTAAATGTAAATACATTAAAGAGCAAAACTGAGCCAGAACTAAATAATTGTTTTAAAATCGAACGAAACAGTTTTAATTTTTTTTAGTAGTTGGGTGGATTAGTTTCCTAAATGATGTATATCGAAAATTTTGAAAAAATAGAAATTGATAGAAATCATTAAGAAAAATATGCAGATGGTTTTTTAATCCTTTTCTTACTTGATTTTGTGATGAAAATTTAAACAATATATTTTGAAAATTTATGAGATTAACTGAATACTGAAAATTTCATCGAACTATTTGAAAAAAGTCCGATCGCTTGGCATGATTTTAGAAAAGTTATTCAGTTTTGAAAGATGTTACTCCAATTTGGCTCTTCAATATGTACGACAGCACTATGAAAATTTTAATCATTTTTAATTATTTATTTAATGATTTTGAACATTATGTACATTTATCTTTACTGACTTTACAGATACTCGAGCAACTTTATAGAAAGATAGTTTATATTGCTCTAATATACTGATGTAGCTAATTTATATACTCTGGTTAAATAAAGAAAGAAATTAATAAAATAAATTTGTAATGCTCGATTTACGATAAACTAATAGTACTAAATAGATTTATTTTATGCTTCTCGGTCTTAAAATTAAATTTACGATAGAGATAAAACGCGAAATATTGGTAAAATCAAAATGTCAGCATAATAAATAAATTAAAGTAAAAATTGTCTTATCCGAGACATTGACGAATAGCAATTTTTTTTAATCTTTGTTACATGTTATATAGTACATCAGACCTAATATCCCAAAGAAGATGAAATTGTTTGATTCAATAGTAAAATAGTTATTCTATTTTGAAGAGTATCCGAATATTAATAGGAGTCACTACAAGTGGTCAGTTTTAGAAGAATTGATAAATTAATTATAATGCTTCAAAATAATTTTGTGCCAATTTTAGTACGATTCTTTAATATACTTTCCTACTTTTAGAACAAAAAGTGAAACTAAAATCCTCATTTTTCGAATCAGCCAATCATGAATTATTATTTATAGTTTCTCAATAACTACGTGGTTAATCGATTTTTGCACAAGATTTCTTTGTATTCGAAATTAGTTTTGTTCTATATTGTCGCGGTAGAAGTATCTTAAAATCTTGAGAATTCGAATTTGAATTTGAGTCTTACCTTTGTTTGTTCGTGATTCTACTGCGCAATCGATTCTCTCAAACAATTGACCTATTCCAACTACACTTCCCACATTCAACGGATCATCCATATTTTTTGATTTGTCTTGCTTGTCCTTAAACAAGTTTTCCAAATCCGAGAATTCATGACTGCTTTGGCTTGCATTGCTGTATCTCCTTTTAACACCAGATTTTGATTCCTCGATCAACGCGTCGCGAGAATTTGCAGAATCGTTATCCACGCCGCCGTCTTCGTTGAATCTGTACGTACAATTACATTATAAACTATTACTGTTAAAATGATTCATAGATAGTTTGAGTAACTTCCAACAACCTTGTAAATCTATCTTCAAATCGGCTAGTGCTAAGACTTCTGTCTCGATTAGAGGTAGCATTAGTTTCACAATTTTTTCGTGTAAGTAACGGACTATAGGAATCCTGAAGGCTGTACCCTCCAGAGCTTTCATTAGCAAATTGTTCATCGCTTTGTTCCGCTATAGAATGTACTATTTCTGACCCATAACTAAGATATGGTAATAATTGTAATTGATTTTTTTTTAACGTATTTTGAGGTAATACCTTCGAAATATACACAACATTTTAATAAATATTATATTTCGATGCTATACATGTATAAATATTAAATTGCAACGGTACCTTTTTAGTATTAATTGTTTCAAGACTTTGTGGATGAAGAGGCAAATTATTGTCATCTGTAGAGTTCACATTTTTATTAGTAGCACCAATTGTTTCAAGACTTTGTGGATGAATAAGTGGTTGATGCGGTTTCTTCGTAATAACCTTGCAAGTAAAAAGATTAATAATATTAAAACAAATATAATAACTTTCTAGTATTGGGTCAAACAATTTCATTTTCTTTGAAATGTTGGGAGACTTGGTTTATAGATATGTACAAGAAAAAAAGATGCAAAAAGTAATATTCGTCAGAATCTGGAAAAACAGAACGGCATGACTCAACTAAAAATTTTAAACACCCCGTCATCAAAATAGGTGAAAGCATAAAAAAGTAAAACAAATCAAAACATGTAAAAATTCTTCGGTTTATTTCAGTTGTAGATCGAAATTCGTGAAACACTGCGGTTTTTTTAAATCCCCAATCACTTGTAATTTGTAGCAAGATTAATCGATTTTTAAAAAGATTTTTACATGCATATAATTTACTCAGATCTACAAACGGGATGTTTCAAATTTTCATTAGAAATTTTTATGAAAAAATTAAAAATCATATCCTTCACTTTCTTATTCAAGACTTCAACGAACAGCAATTACTTTATATGTTTTTTATTTATTTTATATTTTTTATCTAATAAAGCTTCTAATATCCAACAGAAAGTTAATTGTTTGGTCCAATATTAACAAAATTATTTCGTTTTGGAACATGACCGAATATCAATATGAGCCACCATAAGTAAAAGGACTTTACCTCTAAAGATTGTGGATGCGACGAAATTTTATTTTTCTCAGCGTCCTCTTTCTTCGATATAATTTCCAAGCTCTGCGGATGATCGTTCATTAAATGAGTTTCCATTGGAATCGAATTAGAATTTAGACGCCGAACACTTTGATTTGATTTCCAGTACGAATAATCATCTCCTTGATTCTCCAATTCGAACGAGCTCGTTTGTTTTATTTGACTCTCAGACCCCGTCTTACCAAGCGTGCTTTGCTTCGAATGCCGATTTCGCGAATCTTCAGACGCGTGTCTACATAACTTCCGTTGAAACCGTTCCTCGCTGATCACAATGCATCTCTGCCTTTTCAACCTTCTTCCTACACGTGTTCGGTATTTCCCAAAACAGACATTAATACGTGTAGAAAAACAATTGTATCACAGTAATATCAAGTATTATTTAAATAACAAAACTAATACCACTCTTCATGCTTCGAAAACGCGGGTCATGGTATTGCGCAGATGCTAATTCCGCTTCGTGTGCATTCGCATTAGATACCATTGGCTTAGTCAGCTGCTGCGCCTCTTCCGAACTTTCGGAGCTATTTTTTCTGTGAATCTCTACTTTTAAATCTATAGTTGAACTAGGTTTATCCTGATTATACTCAGACGTTATACTATCTGCATCCGCGTTTTGCGCGTTTGATTCTATGAAAGAGTTCCGTGATGAGCATTCTACAGGTGGTGTATCCGTTTTCCCTACAGAAGAAAAACTATCATATATCTTAAACCACGCATTGGGTTGTCTGAACAGTTCGTTTCGATTTTTATAGAAAATTTAAAACCAGCACATTTAAATTCTGATAGACATTTAGCGATTTATTTAATTATATACGTACTATTTCGTTCCACATTCTCTTTTCATGCAACTTGAAGCTCTATCACTAAAATAGTGCAAAACACGCGTTCACGCAATTCGATTCTATATACTTTTACTCTATATACTCTAGATAAAAATCGTTTTAATGTTTAGTTTAAGGCACATTGCAAGGCACTCTGGTCTTTACTTTATTTAGACTAATCATTCTCTAGAATAAATGTGCTTGAAATTTGAAACATATTAATTGTGATTTTTGCTTTACTTTGTAACATTTACTTTATTAAATATCGGCGAAATCTCACTAAATTATAACTTTTCCTAAAGATGAAATATCACCTTTTAGAATATATACACGTGTCATTCATCAAAAGTGGGTATAAACTTCGGACAATCCGATAATTGATCCAATGATTAGCACAACACTTCATACAATATTTGATGTAATGATTGATATAATTAATAATATATGAAATAATAAAGTAGTCAAGTCGTATAATTACTTGAGTTAGATAATCCTTTTGTACGCAATTGTCTATTGGCTACGAGTTACCATACACTTCCAACGTTCACATTAAAATTGTCTGATATACTAAGGCCTGCCCTACTCCACCCATAAAAAATCGGAACGAACTTTCCAAGCAACGCAATACAATATAATTTAAAAACTTTACTGTTTGTATCAATATAAATGAAGTAGGTATAATAATTGTTAAATACCATTTAAGACTTGCAGTTCTATTCCATTGTCTACTTGATCTTGTGATTGTTCCCTGCATTTGTTGAGCACTGTGTGTCTCTTTTCACTTTCCAATCTCTGCTGGCTGATAGCATGACCTGATTCCTCTAAACACTCTGTGGTATCATACATGCAATGGAGTGCATGGTTAACACACTTTATGGTACCAAAAAATGCTCCGATTGAAGAACAATATGCCACCCAAACGTACACAGTTGGCGGGAAATACTAAAAAGAACAAGTGTTAGAGGTATGTAATACAACAGCACGTATATTTGGATAATCTTAGATTACATGATTGTAGAAAACCTGTTTGTATAAATATATGCAAAAGAAAATAAGTAATAGATGAAGAAAGCTACGTGTTATGTAAATTGCAACGATCGGTCTACAATTAATGTAAACATGTACGTTTTACGTGAATGTTATTTATCGAATGTATCTAAAAGGCTGACGAGTGTACGAGTAAATAAACTTACAAGATATATAGTGAACGGTAAGCAGAGTAGAAAGAGCCAAATGTACAGGTGAAAGGTATTTGAAAAAACGTCGAGATGGGGATCGTAAAACCAGCCTCCTGTCAGGCTCGCCCAGACGCCTTGTCTCAAAATTTCTAGTCTTTGAGAACCCATACCAATTGCAAAACTGCTCCCTCACCATCTTCCCATCACTTGCTGTTCCACAGCCTTATTCTTGGTCTGTCTTTTCTGTTCGGTGAATCGCGTGGCAAACAATAAGGCGATACATTTTATCTCGGCCTTATTAATCAATGGATTTGGCGCACACGACTTACAGACTTCGCAGCCATCTTCACATCTCAGATGATTTTCAAACACGAACCACGCAATTTCATGCGAGAACGGAGTCTTCATGATGTACTCAGCGATCACTTTGCACCTTAACCTTAATATCAATGGAAAGAAGATGCTATCTAACACGACACGTCGCGTTCCGTCAAAATATTTAAAACGTAGACTGATAGAGATAATTTAATTAACTTGAAATAATATAAATATACGATTTTCTGCTGGATCGATATGGTGCGGATAAACCTTGTGGAATTGAAATGTCATCAACAGCCTTCTGGATAACGACTCCATGCATCACCATGAATCGTGGTCTAATACAATATATCACATCACGTCAACGGTAGAGTCGTTGGGGGGCACGAATAGACAGCACTGACACTCTATAACTCAAAATACGGGACGTGAATGAAGCCGAGAAAGTCAACATGGCAACTCATGTAAGAAGCTCTTGCGCATGCGCAAATCACAGCGCAGGTGGCGCAGTCTTCTACGCACGCGCAAGAGCTTCCTGTGCAAACCGCCATGTTGAATTTGCACCCTCAGTCAGATCGTACAGTTTGAGTTACAGGGTGTCCAGACCTGTCTATAAGATCGTGGTTGGGGGCCGTCAAACGAAACATGGCGTCCGTTAGGTTATTGCTATGAGTGCTGGTTCGTTTTCTATCATTAAATGTGGAATTATCGTGCGTTTTGCGGGCTGACGCGAAGCGTCGTGTCCTCGTGGAGGCGAACACGTCGCTTTCAACCCTGCATGCCCCGCGTACATTATTCCTAGTGCCGATTCAATGAGAAGAATCGGCCTCCTCCAGAGTGGCTTGTGGGTATACACACCCCGACGCGAGACTCCACAGTGGTTTTATGGCACATCGAGCATTTTTCTACGCTTAGCAAATTTCCCGTTCTCGGCGGCAAACAGAAGTATGATCCTCAACGAGGAATCAGGAAACGTTCGTCGCTTTATAGCCGGACTCGCGAATCAAAATGCCGGTCACTGTTAAAGTGTTTTTATGCGAGGGGTGTTAGCGGTGGTATACACCTCTTCTCACCCCATCATTTTCACGTAAAATTCTGTGCATACGGTTAAATATTAAACAACTGGTTTACTCATTCGCGTATCGGTCATGATTTAAAAAACGTGAAATGTGCAAGGATGTGTATAGTGTTCAGAGAATAATCCAAGGTGTATATAAGACTTTCACCAATTCTTATGTCTATTCGTTTAGCTTCTTTGAGACGAACTAACAATATATTTAAAGAGTGTTTTATGTATGTGTGACTTAATTGGGTAAAGATAAATATTGCACGAAGGTTACCAGACAATAGGATATAATTTCCAGAAAGGAAGACTTAGGAGAGTGTGAGACCATATGCCACCAGCCGGGCTATCGGCGAGAGGCTTGTCTACCTTGATGGACCACGGACAACCTGATGCTCGTCATCGGAGCGAGCGGTTTTTACTTCACCCAGAGAATGGATCCTCCAATTCTAACACAGCCAATTCATCTCCACGGTATCAACATAATAATAGAACAAACAATCATTCCACAAGGTATACAAATAGTCTATAAATTGGTAACAGTGAAGGGATACATTTCTTTTAAACTTTACGTGTTTCAGTTACGGATATTTATATGGACGTACATCTAGCAACAATATGTCTGATAGCAGTGTTTCTGATACACATAGCGGTGGCACAGCAAGAACTGTTTCTCAACAGACTAGTCCATCTCATGGTACACATTCCTCTTCTCAATCGCGACAAGACAATAGCTCAACAATTTTCACGGCGTTATTCGATTATGTTGCCCAAGGGGAAGACGAGTTATCCTTACAGAGGGGTGAAACTGTCGAGGTAAATTGTTTCTTGTGTATAAAAAAAACTTAAACTTTTCTAAAGTGTTAAATTGTATGTTTTGTCAGGTCCTGTCTAAGGATTCAAAAATCTCAGGTGACGAGGGATGGTGGACTGGAAAGATCCATGGAAAAGTTGGTATTTTCCCAGCGAACTTCGTCGTGGAAGCGGAAAGTATCGATCGGGTTTCATCAGTGATTGACAAGGTTCAACCAGTTGAAATCGATTTCGAAGAACTGCAATTAGAAGAAGTGATAGGCGTTGGCGGATTCGGGAAGGTTTACAGGTACGCAAAAACAAAGCGAAATCTAGCGATGGCACTATAACAAAATTTTTTCCAATATCCATTACGTGATTCTTATAGAGTTTTTCGCGCCTAAAACAAATCCAAAAGCAGAAATACTTTATCACATACCGTTTCGGAGAAATAGCAGTTTTTGTAAAGATGTATGATTTTGTAGAAAGTGAGGTATTACATGACAACCGAGCGCGAGACAGGTCGTTGAATCAACAGATAGACTTCCCATAATATATCCATATCCACTTTTTGTTTTCGTACTTCTTAACAGTTGCAAAGGATTGTTAAAATTTGAAGATGAACTGACGCGATATCTTACACGTACAAGTTTTGTGTATATGTGAAAATCCATTTATCCGGCAGGAATTTGCTACACAGTATTGAATTCTACGGATAATTTCTGGTGAAAGAAAAACCATATATAGAAACATGTATTTTATTTTTCCCGAAAATCATATGTTTTTACAAAAACCGGTATTTTTTGGAAATGATGCGTGATAGAATAACTCTGCTTCCTAATTTATTTCTGGCATGAAAAATTCTATACGAACCAAATAGTGGATATTACAAAAAACGAAAGAAAGCTTTTTGTTGCACTGCGTTAAGAGGAAATGGAATGTGCCAAAAAGATAGACACTGCGAGCAATCTATAAAAGCTTTCACAATGTCAAACGTAAAGTGTACTATGCAATGTATAAAAGATAGAAAAAATATTTGAAACACATTTTTTAAGCGCATACCATAAATAATTTATGTCGCATACAAATTTGCAGTTCAGTGATTATTTATTGGTAAATAACGTTTGCAATCTTTTCGAATATTTTAGGGGTTTTTGGCAGAAACATGAAGTGGCTGTTAAAGCAGCCCGCCAAGATCCAGACGAAGAACCAAGTGTTACCTTAGAAAATGTACGACAAGAAGCAAAATTATTTTGGTTACTGAAACACGAAAATATTGTGCAATTGGAAGGAGTTTGTTTGAAAATGCCAAATATGTGTCTCGTGATGGAATATGCACGCGGTGGTAGTTTGAACAGGGTTCTTAGCGGTAGAAAAATCAGGCCTGATGTACTTGTCGATTGGGCGATACAGATTGCTCGTGGCATGGATTATCTTCATAACAAAGCACCTATAAGTCTTATACACAGGGACCTAAAAAGCTCTAACGGTAAGATAAATAATTAATTAATTAACGTGTATACAGGTTGGGCTATGCAACTAGAATCAATTCGATTTCTTCTAAAATAATGGTTTTTATAATAGAATCTTTCAAATAAAAGTTGTACTTCATCAAGGAGGACATAATTTAACGTGATTAGTTTTTTCGTAGATGCATATTTAAGTAGCATATGAAACTCAACTTCATTTTTTTAAAATGAAATCATAGTATTTTATTATTACACAGTTTGATTCAGCTTGTTATTTTCCATAAAAAAAGTATTAATTTGTTTGTATAAAAAGACTATTACTTCAGGAAATATTTTGCTTCCAATTATTGGGGTGGCATAATTGATGTTGCTATAACTTTTAAAGCAACTACTTGAATAAAAATTGCTAAAAATGAATTCTATGTGGCTTGAATTGAGCTAAACAATTAACTATTTGATTTATTCTTATTATTTCTATTTTTCAAAATTTCAAGGTTTTTTCATGTTTTTAATTGAAAATGAAATTGTTTCTTCATAGCGAGAGTTATGGATAACTAAATAATAACAAATTCAACGATATGTATTACAATTACATTATAAAAATTGACAATGACATAAATAAAAAAAAAACTAACTCATTTTCAGCAATTTTTATTCAAGTACTTGCTTTGGCGGTTATAACAATGATGCCATGATTGATACAATAAATTATATGGTTTCATATCACGGTTAATGCAATAATTGATATAATATTTCGTACAATAGTCGATACAATAATTGATACAGTAATGCATACAATGTTCGATCTCCTGATTGATACAATAAATAATAAAATGTTTCATCGTCACTCTAATAATTGAAGTCAAAATATCTTCTGAAAAAATAATTTTTTGTCACACAAACAAGTTACTACTTTTTTTATACAGAATTTCGGTCTAACAAATAATATGTTACATAGTATAAAACATGTACTGCAGTGACGACTTTATTTGACTTTCCGGTTGAATTATGGTAATGCGCAGCAAAAACAGCCAGAAATTTGACCAAAAAAAATTGTCACTTTCTGTAATACGTGTAAAGTCAAACCATATCCTTGCTTAGAATTTTGTAATAAATTCATTAAAACTACATTATTTATTTCTTAACTTTGATACTGCCAGTTCCTTGGACCGATGCGGGCAAAACGAAAAATTCACTCGCTTCCCAGGAACTGACGACACGCCGCCTAAACGAGTTCATATATCCTCTAAATATTCATATAATGGGAAAATAATCACCATGAATTATGTCCCCCTGAATATTATTCAACGTTTATTTCAAACAATTTTTGTAAAAATCATTGTTTTACTTTTTAAAGTAATCGAACTGGCACCAGTTATGTGCTCCTTCCTGTATTTCTATATGAAACGTTCTGAAATAATCTATGTTTTTCTCTTTGATAACAGTGTTATTGAGTGAGCCTATAGAAAATGATGATTTACAATACAAAACTCTAAAAATAACTGACTTTGGGTTAGCGAGGGAAGTTTACAAAACGACTCGTATGTCAGCGGCGGGCACGTATGCTTGGATGGCACCAGAGGTTATTAAAAAGAGTACTTTCAGTAAAGCCAGTGATGTTTGGAGGTCAGTTTTATGTACCTCCTATGTCACTCCATCGTATAAATGATTAACGTTTCACCCTTTTATTCATACTCTTGTAATACGTTTGCAGTTACGGTGTGCTTTTATGGGAACTCCTGACAGGTGAAACACCTTACAAAGGAATAGATGCTCTGGCAGTAGCGTATGGAGTCGCAGTAAATAAGCTTACGTTGCCTATTCCATCGACTTGCCCTCAACCTTGGCGCTTTTTAATGGAAGGTACGTTGATCTGCTACGAATTATACAGGTTGAGTCATTTAACTGTGCCACCAAGACACTATTTGTTGTATCAAAAAATGTTTTAATTTAATGTTTGGTTAAGCGAGGTATAGAATGTAAAAATTCGATTTTTGATAGTACAGTCTATTATCGAGATATAGTATTTGATCTAGTACTTCGATACAATATTGAATGATGAGTAAAAAGAATTGCAAGATATGTGAGATTGAAAATTAATATTTACCGATATAAGCAACGATCCAAACGCTGTCCATTACACCAAATACAAATGTATAGGCAGTTTACGATTAACGTTTAATATACGATATATCTTTAAATGTTTGTGGAGTTACAGTCGAGAGCAAAATTGAATCAACACCTTTGAAACAGAATAAATTTTTCGAAATCGAACCAAGCGATTAAAGTTTTCTTATATTGTTAGGTGAAGTAGTTACCTAACTGACGTATAAAAGAAATTTCGAAAAAAAATTGTTAGGAAATGTCAGGAGAAATGGGAAGATCGCTTTTTTCAATTTTCTATTTAAACTCTTGATGAAAATTTGGTCAAGACATTTCGAACATTTATATGAGATATGTATACTGAAAATTTCATCGATATCTATCGGTGCCGAAAGAATGGACAGGCATCAAAACATGTAGACTTTAAGCCAAAAGTTATAAAAATTTCGGTTTTCACCATTTCTACCTGATTATAACTCATAATAATGTTAACCAATATTGATGAAATTTTCATCTCACTAGTGTTAAAAATGTGTTGCTCGGACTTTTATTGTAAGCCCAGATAAAAAAGTAAAAAAAAAAAACAACCTTCATATTTTTTTCTTACAAGTTTCACCAATTTTAATTTTTTCGAAATTTATTTTACACATCAATTAGTAAACTAATTACACCTAACTACTCAACAAAATTTAGATCGTTCCGTTATATTTTAAAAAAGTTATTCAGTTCTACAATAAGTCAGTTAAGTTTTGCTCTTTACTCTATTTTTTCAGGTGTCGTAGGCGGTATTAATTCTAATTGCAATTTTTGCATTTGCATTTGTAGGCGTTTACATTTTGTACGGAAACTGCCTTCTTCTACCCTGTTGATAAGCTTTTGAAACGTGAAATGTGACGTGGCAGGATATTTTTCGCCCGAACAGAATTTTTACTCAATAATAATAGTGATAAATCTTATTTTCATTCTTCTAAATTTCATTTTTATTGAGATATTCGTCAGTTCACTTTTCTTTCACTCACCATACTCTCACCTCCAATAACTTGCTACTGCGAAAGTAAAAACAGAGCAACAACAGCGAACTACTAACTGATCAGAAAGATTTGTTTGTAAGCATTCAAGTCGTGTATCAACAAGTGTTGCATGAACTTTCCATGCAGTGACTTTCCATCACTTTTCACTGATGGATATTTCGGTAATTATTAGTTTTTGATCCGAAAAAAGAAACTTCCATTAATTTTCTTTCTCTCAATTGCCTGGTCTCAAGTCCATTCGAGCGCCCGGTCTATTATCATACAGTGACTCCCATTAATATTCGGACACATTCTCAAACGGAATAACTCTTTTAATATCGAACCAAACAATTTAATTTTCTGCAGGATGTTAGAAGTCTTCATTTACTATATAATGTGTAAAAAAAATTGCCATACGTCGAATTCTCGAATAAAATAATGAAAGACATGATTGTTATTTTAGGATCTGTAATAAAAATTTGAAACATCCTGTGTGTAGATCGAAGTAAGTTGCATATAAAAAATTTCATCGAAATCGGTTAATATTGCTACAAGTCATAAGCGATAAAATATTTTAATTTGTTTCAATGTTTTCACGACTTTCGGTCTATAACTGAAATAAATTGAAGAATTCTTACGTGTTTCGATGTGTCTAACGTTATTATACTTATATATTGTATATAACTTACGTTAGTTATTTATTAGTTATCTATAAATAGTGTTTCAACTTTTCCGTAATAAAAAAGTTAGAAATTATGTCATTTTCTTTTTTCTTGGAGATTCAACAATCTTTTTTAAGCTTCTATTACAGATTATATAGTAAACCAGGCTTCATAAGATTCCAAATTTTGAACAATTTGACAAAAACAAGTTTCATTCAATATTACAAAAGTTATTCTATTTTGAAGTGTGTCCAAATATTAATTGGAGTCACTATAGTCTTTTATTCATCATTCAGTACTTCGTTGTAACAACGAGATAAGATATTCCACGTCATGATACAAAAATTCGAAGTGAAATATGTCGATGAAATAACGAATTACTAATATTGTGTATTATTGACAAAAAGACTTATTATTACTAAACTGCGTGGATTTTACGTTATTAGAAGAAAACTTATTAGAAGAAACCACAGAAATGGCAAATGTTGCGTACAAGGTGTATAATAATTCAGAATATGAAAAGCCAAATGGATGTTTTAATGTTTAAATGATCAGCCAAATGCTTATACTGAGAAAGATGAGATAATAATTAAAATTCTTTCATTCTTCGTTTATTTCGCGGATGATCAAAATACAGACTTTTATCAAATAGTTCGACCTGACGTGTCGAACGAGCTCTTTTGCTGGACTCGATCCTTAACCGATTGAACAAAACTGCTGAAATCTACTAAGGAGTAAAATTAGAGTAAGAAGAGATAGTAGGAGAAGGAAAAAGGAAACGAAAGGGAATAGGAAAGATACGAAAGGAAGGACAAAGAGTAATAAACAGAAGGATAACCAGGTAGAGCTTGAAAAACCGGGAAAAAATCCGATAGTCAAACTGCTACATCTGAGCACCAAATGTTCAAGAAATAAAAATTATAAATAACTAGTAATAGAAGAGAAAGTTGAAGAAAGGAAATAAATAATAAAGATAGTCTTAATAAGAAGGTGGCACACACGAGTCGTCACAATACAAAACATATCTTTTAAACTGTTACCATAAACGTTTTATTTTGCATTCACAGCCTATATGGTCCGCTTGGTACTAAACAACATACCTTAGAACATTCGTTTCATATCATAAATGGTTCACAAGTAAATATAGATGGCACAGTTAAATGACTCATCCTGTATAGAAAATCGTGTATAGAAAACTTGATTTGCTTCAAAATAATCAAATGCATCTCGAACTATTTAGCTTGTTGGGCGTCTGACAGTCATCAACGACCAGGATTCGCTGAAATTTTAGTAGCGTTAGACGAAGTTCGTAGCGCGTTTGCGGCAACGCCACACGAATCGTTTCACACAATGCAAGAAGATTGGAGGCTTGAAATTGAACAAGTTCTTCACGGATTGCGCATGAAGGAAAAGGTACAAACAAACTTTGAATACCATTTCTAAAATACAGTTTATATTCGTGGTAAAATGGTCTCATCTTCTATATAAATAATATTTGTAATATTCTTTTAAATGCTATACGAAGGCATGCCGTTCGTTAGAAGAGGTAAGATAATGTATAACTTTTCAAGTTAAACATTGCTTTTGTTTCTCTACCCCAAGTCTATCTATTTTATTGTTGTTAAACGTCAGAATTTTATTGCCTCAATCGATTTTATTTGTTCAGCTTTATTATCTGTTTGCCCGTTAGGAATTGCGCTGTAGGGAGGAAGAATTGACGAAGGCACAAGTACAACAACGACAACACGAAGAAAACTTGAGACAACGAGAACAAGAATTAGCTGCCCGCGAAATAGACTTGCTAGAACGTGAACTTACCGTAATGATAATTCAGCAACAGAATACTCCAACTCCAAACAAGAGGCGCGGAAAATTCAAGAAGTCAAGATTAAAATTAAATAAGAAGGAACCTGGAAGTAATATAAGCGCTCCTTCCGGTTAGTTTTCTGCTTTATGATTATTTCTTATGCAATTAATTTATGTGTTTCATGTTGCACGTTGTTCTTTCTATAGATTTTCGTCACACGATAACTGTGAAAGATACAGCATTGGAACGGGGGAAAGTGCGGAATCCGTCGAGGCCGAACAGTCCACCTGGCTCGCCTAGTATCCCAAGACTCCGTGCAATCGCATGTGAGTATCTGTTCTGAAGATTGTTGGTAGTTAATAATTTCAATTATGTGTTGTAAAGTAATGAATGATTGATTCTGCTCTGACGATATTTATTTGAGTATTTTCGACGATCTTTTGAATTCCACTGTTTGTGCTTTGTAGTCACGTTGTATTCATTTAATATTGATTAGCATGGTGTGAATATAATTAAATATATTTTTATCTACGTCTCTCTCTTGAGAAAATTATATATTAAACATACGCACTTTCAATCTATTTTTCAGTTTAAATTCCAAAGTTATTAGAAGACATTCTATATTATTTAGTTTTATTTATTTTTTTAATTAAATCCTCGATCGAAAATGTATAATTAAAATGATTTCTTGATACCTTCTAATGAAACATTATAAAATTGAACAGAATTTTAGGGTAGGAGGGGAAACTCAGTATTGTAGTGAGTAGCGTTTTGTTTTTTGTCTTCCTTCTTTAGTACCAGCAGATGGAGTGAAGGGTAAAACATGGGGCCCGTCGACGCTCCACCAACGCGAGCGTGGAGCTATTATCACGCAGCCACCGAATCCTGCTTCACCGGGTGGGAAACGATGGTCTCGCTCCGCACCAGACCTTGAAAAGGCGCCCCTGCGTACCGCCCTGTTGGCACACCGCCCCCCGCTTCTTCAAGAAATAGGTAACCCGACCTCCAGAAAGTTGTACTCCTCAGCAAATAATTTGATAGACAGTCAGCCAGGATTTAGTTATAACAACATTCCAGAAAATTCTAACAACATTGTGCAAAGTACCAGCTGTCCTCCTTGCAATCTAGACGAGGACTCAATTATTGTGGACAACGATATTTACGAGTCCGTGGTATTGCATAACAAATCGGCGAACAATTTTAGAACCCATTTCTCAGATGACCAGTTAGTAGTTATGAACAGACCCACGGTTAGAAATACTTTGAAAACATCGCCCCCGAAATGTCAGAAGTACAGCGATTGGGAGCATTCGTATTCCTCGAACTTTGTACAGAACGTAGCGTCTTTAGTCGGTACTGCGAAACGCGTGAAAAAGAAGAAACGCGATAGGAGTAAGTCGAAGGAGTCGAAGCGCAGGGATAGCTCTGAGTCAAGATTGGCCGCTTTCACAGATTTCTTTCGTTCCCCTTCTGGCTCAAGGAAAAGCTCTCTGAACTCTCCACACAGCGCAGAACGAAAGAACTCTAATATATCGATAAAAATCAACGACGCGGACGGTTTAGAGTCGAGTCCCGAAAATTCTATTGGCAAAAAGTCTCAGCATAAATCGAGAATTTCTAAGAGCCCGTTGAGGATGTTCAATAAAATGAAGGCCTGGGGAAGTCGGGACGCTCTCGATGATAAAGCCGTCGCAGTCAAAGTAGAATACAGCGTTCTAGATAATACGATATCCATGTCGCAGTTAAGTCGACACGATTCCGATCATAGCGCCGCGGTGCCGAAATTCTTGGCCGCAAACTCTCGGGAAGGGATAGATTTCGAAAGTCTCAAATCGGAGCTTTGTAATTTCGATTCGGAGCATTCGAACGATAGTTCGATCTCGAAGAACTCTTTAGGCCTGTTCCCACAAGACAATCAGTGCAAAAGATCCCCTACTTCGTTCGAATGTATTAGCGACGTGTCGGATGTGTGCTTTAAACACACTTCGTAGATCAGTAAATCAAATTTGATTTGCATTTGTGAAAATAAAAATCGACGCTTGCGTGGCTACGAACAAAATTAATTTTCATAGTATTAATTGTGCATGGCTATATGCAGGATAGAGCGCGTCAGAATCTGCTAGACAATTGTAGAAAAAAATTCGAGTCCGTTGCCCCTTCCCAGGAATTCCGGATATTTGCGATTACTTAACGCGCTTCCACATGTTTCTATCGTCGAAAAACTTTTAAGGAAGGATGACAAATGACATATTTCAGACAGAATCATGCATATCGTAAATGTATTCCCACTTCGAATATACCTTTCTTCTGCTTTATGTGTTTTAGTAACAGTCCTATATTTTCTTTACCACAGGCCTTTCTGAGGAAAACATCTGTCCCACTCGTAAGTCTCTTTACATTGCTGCGCAATTGTTTCACATATTACAAGAGACACCTGACTGTTTTTTTTTTGTTCTTTATCTCGATAAATTGTATCTTTGTTTCTCCTCCCTTTGCATCGTTACAAAAGTACAGATCTCAAACGGACAGTGCCCCTTTTACATTTACACTTCCTCTTCGTATTTTCCGTTCGCTAAATTGTATTTATGTAGATTGTGCTTAAAATTAATTTGATAGGAATGCATGTGTGAATATGCAATTAATTAGATTTCCTACATCTGTTCATCATCTAGAAAGGATGCCCCCCGATATATAATATATATATAATATAGTATATTATATTAGTATGTAATACGTGTACAGTTTCAAACATTTATTGACGTTATTATGTTTCTTTTTTTACGTTGGTAACATGTTTAAGATTATTTTATTTGATTGAATTTTCGGAATGGTACATATATAATGTTATGTATCCTCGTAGGGAATGAATTGAAATTGAAAGTGAAATGACGAATTTGAAATTAATTTTATTTAGTTAAATCGATAGCTTTGTTAATTAGTTAATTTTCATATGTCTATCAAATTACATGATGAATATATATTTTAGTATACGTTAATGAAGGGTAACCGGTGCCCTGGAATAATCTAAATACTATTTATCCTAATTTAAACTGATAAGAATGTTCGCATTTTGAACTGTAATTTAATGAGTACATAAAATGTAAATGCAGTCTTTCTGGTGTTGGTTCTTTTCTGATGTTATCTGGAGTATATAACATTCTAACAAAGCAGAGCTAACAGATCCTTACTACGCGAAAAGAAGTCATGTGCTTTTGCCACTACAGACAAGAAGTGCTAGATTAAAATTGTTCTCCTTTTGTTTTTGTTTTTTTTTTTTTTTTTAATTTAGGAGCGTTTACGGAAAAGTGTGTTCTTGCATAGTTGTAATTCCGAAATCTAAGAAAGACATCATCACAATTATGAAATTATTATACAAAGCATTTAGATTGTGAAAGTAGAGTTGTACTATTTTTTTTCTCTCTTCCCCTCTCTCTCTTTTTAGTGCTTCACACACGCATCTAAATTAAATGTCAGATTTTTGTTAATTTATCCAGCCTTATTTAACAGCGACATCACTTTTGTATTGTCATAGATTTCCAACATTCTTTTAGATTCAAAAGATCTCGCACCTGTCACGATACAACACATGGAGCGATACACGCACACTTGTATTTAGAAATAGAAATTTTTTTCAATAAAACCTTTTCAGTTGGACACATTGAATTTTGTTTTTTCGTTTTTCTGCAATTTTTACGCTCGGTTCACGGTGGCGTTGAACGAACAGATTTCATATTCCAATTATTATATTTTCATGCACTTTATACGTACAATATTATTGCCTCAATAAATCTTTTCTACTTCGTTTTGATTAATTTACTAACTAAGATGAATATTAAAAGAAAATACTAAATTATAATTTGTTTTTGTTTTTAATTAAATAATCGCCGATAACCGAGCGTGAAAAAATCCTTGTGCATGCTTCCAGTAGGATCCTAACTGTGAAGGCCACTTGGGTTCGGTCCTTTTCTTCCCCGAAGATTCCAGTCTCATTTATGACAAATACTCCGAATTTCTTTTTAATTCCTATATCGTATAATTGTACCTTTAATATTTCTGTTCAAACCGAGTAGGAAATGATAATGAATACGAAGGGAACGAGTATTCTAAGAAATGAGAAGATGAGAATTAAATGGGTGAAGAAAATAAGTTATAAGATCGCCTAGAAAATTAACGCGTTTCGCCTTATGAACAATTTATAACTTATTTTTTCTCTCTTCACGCTCTGCTTCATTTTCAAAGTCTCGATATACTTAGTTATACCTTTTATGATATGGGCTTTAATGCATTTAACAATAAAAGTATTCGTAGAATAAGGCTTGTTAGAGATTATCAGTAGTCAATAAACCCTTTATACACATTTGTAGCATGTAATATTTTATGCACGTGATATATTGTGCTTATATACACATATAAACAATTATAAGTAATTTAATAACGAATTAAGCATGCTGCAACGTCGATACTAAACAGTTTAAATTTAGTACACGTACTGTAACATTTATGAAGCGTGTAAAAATTTGTTCATAAAGGTAAGAGATGGAAAATGATCAGTTCAATGTGGTACGTAAAGGAAAGTAAAGATTTTCATTGCATTTCTCTATTTTAAACACATATATTTTTAACGAACGGCGATAGTACCATTATCATCGTAGAAATCTGATTATTGTTTTTTAGATTATACAGCCATACCACCTGATCTGCCAACTGACTGGGCAGCGCCGGATTTTCCTTTGAAGCCTGGATTAACCGGTCCTTACATCATGCCGATGCCCGTACCAATGCCGACCCTCTACAACGGAGAAACAAAGAAACCAAAGTTAAGCATAATAGAGCTGGTGTTATACAATATCGCAGCTATGCTAGCCGGAGTGGCTACCGGATACGACGTAAGAATGTCAAACATATCTCCGATTCATCCGAGATTATATCCACGGCTTGGTGAATGTGAAGATGAACCTCCGCGATGGTGGTTTCAAGCAGACACTGGATCTAATCGTAATTCCGGTTACATCGGTCCCGATTACGAATTCAATTCGAGTAGCGGCTATCCTCATAATACCTATCACGGGCCCGCTAGACATTACAGGTACGCAATCAATAATTAGTAGGGGTAAGCGAGACGGGTCGGATTCTAAAAGAATTCATAAAACTCATAAAATCTTGAGACTCTCGAGAGTATTCGAGATTCTTAAGTATTATTATTATTATTATTACTTTATTAAAGTATAATCCCTTGAGAAGATACGAATGAAATCGAACAGCTTTACTTCGACAATTTATGTGGTTCAATACAGGATACGTATAAACTATTAACCGCATTAAAGCCAACCACTATAACTTAACAGCTTCTTTATCTTAATGTAACTCGTGCTGTGAGTGTGGCTACGAATCTGAAGACCTGGACCATATTCCGTGGCAGTGTCGTCTCTACGATTCTCAAAGAGACAACCTTATTAAAAATTTAAGACAGAATAAGTTCTTCCTGTCCCTAAAACAATAATTGCTGAACCAAATATCCTGACATGCTATTGTATCTATACGTTCTTAAAAAATTGTAATCATCGCATATAAAAATAGTTTAAAATGTCAAATGTATACCAGATACAGTTGTAATAAACCTCATTAAGGTTTGTCAAGCTGAAATAAAAAAAGATAGATGGTACAAATGTAAACTTAAAAATAAAGCAGATAGCAAAAACTTAAAAATAAACTGGAAAAGACAAAAGAGGAAATAAATAGATACTATCTAACAATAATAAAGTCGTAAAATAAAGTAAAGTAAAATAAAGTCGAAGTTAAATTTAAACATAGAAAAAACGAATGAGAAGAGTATGTTTGGATTTGCACTGAGTATATTCGGGATTTGCGAAAACATTTGGAAATTCCGACAATATTATAAATTTCCAAAAGTGTTCGGGATTCCTAAAAATGTCAAGGATTTGATTATGAGATTGAACAATATCAATCGAGGTATGAGATTTTCGATATTTTAAGCGTTTTCGAAAATTCCATTGTCAAGTGACGCGGTAGCGTTCCAAAGGCAAATTTGAGTAAAATTTATTCATTTATTCTCATTTCTACTTATTTAATTTGTTAGTATAAAACTATAGAAGTTTGAGAATGAGGTGGAAATTATATACCACACATAACTAATAATTAGTCTTTTTATACAAAAATTTGAAATAGAATATCATAACTATTACTTCTCGAATGTTTTCGACAGTCAAATCGGGAATCTTGATATAATGGAGAAGCCGTTCCAATCCTGAGAAACATTCTCGTCCCGTCCCGACGTTTACGGGTTCTCGCATATCTCTCAAAATAATTAGCAATCGTCCTTTTCTGTTTCTTACGCCTATTCTCGAACTATCGCAGGCCGTTCTTGAGCAACATGGGTGGCATAGCACCTGGTCTTCCGCCCAGCGTGATGCCTGATAAACCTCTAAGATTCACCGACTCACCGCAACATTACGCGAGCAATACAAGCTCTAACGCACCGACACCAAGTCCTAGAAGAAAGAGCAGCAGTACTAGTAACGAGGACGTGTACACGCACGATGCTGGAAGAGTGGATCGGATGGAAAGAGTACCGACGATATACATGGGGAACGTCGCACCTTATCCAGATTACGGGCCTCCGGTGTACACGGTTGTCCCACCAGAATACTACAGACCACCAGAACCGACGTACTTCGTACCAACTGATTACCAGTAAGTGATTGACTAATGAAGTATGGACACTACGGAGTCCGTCCGGAAATTGTCGCGACATATGTCGTCACGGTTTCCGTAGACCTGTGACTCTTAAAAGCTAAACGTGGACAGTCCAGCAGTCCGAAATGCAAAGTATAGGGAAAACCAGGCAGAAGCTGGGTGCCACATTGGGCCCAGTGATCTCTGTGGAACAAGTGGCCGAGAGTACCGGACCTGCTCTTTAGGTCCTAATAACTGTCGAGAAGTCGTCAGGAAATCGTGGAAAACTCATGACTGCTATTCATGAGCTGCAAATGGTCTGTCCGCTTGCTCTTATACGCAGAAAATAAGTAATACAATAATATACATAGTGAGGATGAACAATTTTATTCATGAGCAATTACTCTATAGTGTTTAATATTTTTATTAGTTTTAACTGACGTAAGTCCATGTCGAAATTCGATGTACATAGCATTGTTAGTTATTTAAACGAAATCGAAATTAGTACAATGGGGCGAGATTAAGTATGCAAGAAGCATTTGATAGAATATACATATCGAATCTTTCGACTTAATGATCGAAAATAATTTGTAAGTAATATTATAATGCCAATTAATATATGAATTGCATGAAATCGTATACCTATAAAAAGGGTTGACCCATAAATTCTATCATTGATACAAAATTATGCTTCATAGGTACTGAAGAATTGAAGAATACATTTTTAATATAATTGTTAAAATTAATCTATTTTTAGAATTATTATATGTTATACAATAATGACTGTAATTGAAGATCCTGAAAGTACTAAAAGAAAGGAAATATTTTAAAAAGTTAATGAAAACTAATCAAAATATATGCTGTAGAGTAGTTGCTTGTATCTAAAATTATTCATCCTTACTATGTATATGTTATTTCATATATTTTGCACACAGAGGCGAGCGGTCAAGTCATTCGTAGCTCATGAATAAAATCCACGATTTCTCGACGGCTCGTCACCTTGACCAGCAGGTACTTGAACTTAAACTGTAAGGGATTTAACTCGTACTCGTTGCTGGGGTCCACTGAGACCCCCAGCTGCGGCACTGAATTGCCCATGATCGACTGCTAAAAATCATACCTGTACGGAGATCGTGACGTTTTCCGATCGGACTCCGTAGTGTGAATAGTCCATAACAGAAGGCAAGATTTATATATAGTTACATTAAATCCTTTTTCTCCCTCAGTGATAGAATGCTTGAATGTTCCGAATTTCCACATGCTTACGATAATCCGAGCAGCATAAATAGTCCGGCTCGACCAGCAGTCTCAAGACTTCCTTCGTACACCCACCACCGTACCTCGTCGAACGTTTCGAATGCTAGCACGTCGAGTCAAAGTAACGTGAACCCAACGTTTCGTTTAGAAGACGAGGATGATTATTCTTTATACTCGCCTGGACATTATTACCCACGATCCCCGAATATCGCGTCGAACGTAGGAACGTACAGTCCTAGTATGCTTAATCACGACTACGGCTCGCAATTGCTGACGCGTCAGAACTCGCACGATTCGAATTCGAATTCTGGTGACAGACCGAGCAATTTAGAGGTCGTCAGTCGATTGCGATCGAGCTTGAAACGATCCAATTATTCGTACAACTCTCCGAACAAGAGCGTGAGCAAAAATAACTCCGGTTCGGGTACGCCGACGAATCCCACGCCACCGGATTCTTTGACATCCGAGGATTCGAGCTACGTTTCGGCTAAGGACAGTCAAATTTCTATAAGCAGGGTCCGTTTCTCGCCGGTCACTTTCGACAGGGACGGGGTTTCCCGCGATCATAGGGAAACGCTGCTCGATATTCCGGTTCACGGGCAAACTCAAGATGCTACCGTGCCGTTGCAAGCTAATCGACGAGTGAACAGAAGTAGAAAACCGAGTATCTCTGAATTAGAAAGAGAATTTTTGTCATAGCATTGGCTTATTTAAAATCAAGAGAATTCGGTTGAGGGCGATTTTAGAGATTCGTTGAATAGTTTTCGTCGATCTTGAAAGTAATACATTCAATTTGCATACAATCGCGCGAATCAAACGATGCGCGACGCGGGAAGAAATAAATTGAATCGTAATAATTAGAAAATACAGCGATGCACGTTCTTGAAGCACTGCCTCCTGCTAAACATTTTATCACATATTAAACGATGGTCATCGAGTACAGTAAGAACGTAACATTCCACAGATATTGTACTGAGACATCTTTATAAAAGACTATTGTATTGTATTCAATTCGACTGTTTTTAATTTCATACAGAACTAACGTACGTTTCGTAGAGAATAGTGGAAACGCCAACATTGACACACGATAATTCTTTCAATTAGATTTAAAATAAATGTTTTACTTCGTACATTCCGCACATCTGCTGTTAATATCAAACATGTAAATAGTATATATATGTACGTTTTCTATTATTTGCATGAGCATGTAAAAAGAGCAGATAAATATTTTAATTTATATAATGTGAAAGAAAATTGGGGGGGGGGTGAAGAATTGAAAACGAAGGGTGGGGCACATAACTAGAACCAGTTATATTTTTATAGCAAAATGCTTCAAGTAAAAGTTGTATAATATCAAGAGCGGCATAATCCAACGTGATCAATTTTTTCGTACATGGATACTTAGGTAGCATATGAAGGTCAACTTTGTTGTTTTAAATGAAATCATATTATTTTATTATTAAACAATTTGACCCAGCTTGTCATTCTTTATAAAAAAAATTTTATTAACTGATTGTATCAAAAANGTATTATAGTTACAGAAGTATTTACCAATTAACGTACCAAAATTTGATATTTTAGATACTTGATTCGTAACTTTACCATTAATATAAACAAAAGAAAAAGGACATCGTTTTGTGGGTGTTCTTTGTTTTATAGTTATTAGACAGAATAGAATTAATCTTCAGCAATTTTTATTGAATTACTTGCTTTGGAAGTGATAGCAATGATACCATGATTAACACAATAAATGATATAATATTTCGTGTCATGGTTGATGCAATAATTGATATAACGTTTCATATAATAGTTAATACAGCAGGGCATGGAATGTTTTATCTTCTTATGGATACAATAGTTGCTAAATCGTCACTCTAATAATTGTCCAAATATCTCCTGAAGTAATAATCTTTTTCTACAAACAAGGTAATACTTCTTTATACAGAATGAGCAGTATCGAACTGTTTAATAATAAATATATTTTTCCATTTGAAAGTCAAACTTGAGTTTCATACAACCTTTAAATATTCATATAAGGAGACTCTAATCACGATGAGCCCCCTCGGTGTCATTCAACGTTTACTTGAAACATTTTATTATAAAAAGCATTCATTCAGAAGAAATCTAACTGCTTCCAGTTATGTGCTCCACCCTTACAAATTCGTATAATATATTTGTTGTATTAACGAATTGAAAATGATATTAACTCTCTTAATACTTGTTTAACTGATTACCATTTTAGAGAAACGAGACTTGATTCTCTTTATCTATCAACATTTATCGCAGATGTTAACGCGTTACATTCCATCAGAGTTTCTTGTCAGAAAGAAATAGTTAATTATTGAAAGTATATGTTAACATGCTTGATCGAAGGAGAAGATGAGGAAAACATTGGTGACTATTGTTCATAATTTCCCTTAGCGTTACTTTGTGACAATATAAATATAATAGAATAATTTTGTATCACGAAATATCTCAGCAACCTTTCCTAAAATCACAATGTTTTCTTCTACACAGAACATTTCTAATCGAAGAAGAATTATCGTAGACATACCGTTCATTTTTATATTATTTTAATAAGTTTATATATACTAGTATCAAGGCACTAGATACACGTGTGAAAAGATTTGTACAGTAGCAACTTTAATATGGATTTTCGATCGAGCTAGCCAGAGTGATAGTGATTTAATTTAGTGTACATGCCATGTGTAGTTAAAGATATACTTCTTTTATACATATACAGACACAGTATGAACGATTGGAACGATTGTAGCATATCTATAGAAAGATGTTCGACATATTTAGTTTATTTATGACGAGTATATAGCCGTGGGTGTGATGTACCGGGAAAGAGGCGAAGACACTCCATACATAATCACTGTTGTACATACAATTATATGCTGAACAGTTATTGTTTAAATAACAATGTAATTATGATGGACATTCCTTTAATATCGACCGTATCGTGTAAAGTAATGTGGCGTTTTAAATGCACGAGTGCCCTAGACATTATTTTATACATACTTCATTAGACCGGGGGCATTCAATGTTTTGAATTAATATAAGAAACGAAATCGATTGAAAAAGCCCTTCATTTTTACTTGTAAACAATAGTTACTCTGTAATTACTAAAACGAATTGAACTAAGCTCGATTTTTATGAGTGCATGGAGTTTAATTTATTGAATAGCCGACTAACGTAACTATATGGAAGCTAATCAAAACTTATTATTTATGCACGCGCGTATTCACTACGATGCGTTTTATGGAATCAAAATAATTCTCATTTACTTGATTCACCTCACATAGGAGTATTAAAGTAACGTATTTTTATGTACTAGGGATAGATCAAAATTGAATCAACTGTTGAAATTGAATTAAAAAATTTCGTTAGATTTCGGACAGTTTTATATTTTTATTTATGATAGTCCAAGGTCTCAGTAGCCTATCCCTAAATTGCGATGATTACAATGATTTCCTGAATAGTAATCAGTATTGTAGGATATATCCTAATGTACATAAAACACTATAGAATTAAAGAACGAATAAAGAAAGGATAAACTTTGATGAAGTATTTTTTTGGCTTCTTTCTACTGTGTAGTTGGTTTTTAAAATTACCAATAAAATTCTTCTCAAAGTGAAATCAGTTAGAGCAACGGTGATAATACATTGAAATATTCCTGAAGAATAAATCCCATTGAATTGGTACGTTAAATATATATCTAATTTTGTTCATACTCGTTCAGAGGTCGACTTGTGGAAGCCTATAACAAATTTAATCGGTTGACTGAAATATTTATGATGTTATTATAGAGAACCTATAGAAAATAAATATTTCATGGATATGCCTTTTCTATGTTGTACAAAGATATTCTGCGGTGCTAGTATCATGTACTTAATATTTTAAGGGAGACAAGAAAACGTTGAAAATGCTTCCAAAATAATTGTGGGAAATATTGAATAAAATCTTAGAAATGGTATTATCGATACTTATTGTTGACAGTAACGATAAAACTTACTTATATACAAAATGTAACGTTAGGCAGCTATCAAATCTATCAATTGTGTAATGGCACATGATTGCCAACAGTGCTAGTCTAAGCTATATTTATTTTTTATATATTAAAAGTTCGTTAGCTCATACTAAGAGGAACCCAGTTTTCTATTTCATTACAGACCACTTATGCATTATTTGTTTGGGCAACTAGACAATATTGTATAAAGAAACACTGTTCAGAATATATACAATTTAAAAAACAGCTATATCTTATGTTTGTTTTTAATAAATCACTGCATT